TGTGTGTGTGTAATTGCAAATTTGTCTAAGTCTTATATTTCAATCATTTGAGGTCGACTATATAAATCCGTTTTTGTCATTGATTTCAGTCCCGCGTTATACGCTCATTTGGGAAGGGGATGCGGTCATGACCCAGCTACAAAGATGTGTTACCTATTTCCTGCGTTTGATATTTACCTACTTTCATTCCCCTCGTGAATAAATGGAGCCAAAAGTTGGTTGAAATAGCCCCCAGTAAACTGATTTCAAATGAGGAAAAAATCATATGCCTCGAAATCCCCTGCCCCAAATATTTATTGGGTTCTAATTACATTATTGAAAAGTTATTTTTTGGTACGATATCTCCTATTTTTTCACTAATTAGAGCACAAAACGTACCAAAATTTCTATGTTTTATTATTTCAAAATCAACAATCATAAATAAACTAATATAAGATTTACGTCTAAAAATCATTTTTCGGTACGATATTAAAAACTATGTTTTCGTACATAGCCATATCCCCGTACTAATAGTAACTAAATCGGAATTTTTTTATAGTAAATCTGTAATTTTGGACTTTTGAGTTTACGCCTAGTGTCTTATTCGACTAGTAAACTAATTAATGTCGATTCACGAATAATGATTATAAGATTATCTGTCTCTCTATCTCTCTCTTAACTTCAAAATTTTGTGCACTAGGTATGTCATTCTTTTCCATAATACTAGTTAATCATTGTAGATCAAAGTCCTTGAAATTAGAGATTATATTGTGGATAATAAGTTTTTCGCTATGTCATAATCATCTTTACTATTAAAAAAAAAAAGAAGAGTACCTAGTACATGAGACTCCCGCCGTTGCAGGTTGCAGTCTTACCCAATAGATAGGCTATTTCTGCGAGACCCATCTTTCCTACTAATTATCTCGATTTGATATAAATGCACTCCTAGAGTTAGAGGCAGAGCACAGTGTGATGGAAGAGGTTTTGAAATTTGACTTTAAGTGCAATGGCAGAAACTCACGGGCATCCTCATCTTCCCCCACAGGCTACAGTCAAAAAGGGCACCCACCTCACCAACTCATGGCCACACCCCCTCTTACTACTCCTTAAGTCCTTGCTAGCAATGAGCTGTGCCATTTCAGCTACTCACGAATCTGTTTATAAGTTCCCCTTCCTCTCTTCTTTCTCACTACCATAAAGCACTCTCATACCCATAATTTTCTCTGAAGAAAGACAACCCAAAACATCAATGTCTACTACTCATGGCTACATGGCATTCATTTATATTCTCCTCTTGCTGTCTCCTCTCGGTGGAGCAATGGCCGGACGCGTTTTAAACCCTAGTGTTACAGTCAGAACAAAGCTATCAGAATCGAAAGCTCACGATTTCGTGGCCTTGAAGCCTGAATTGAATCACAGGGGAAATGTGTTTCACAGCAGGGAAGTAAAAAGTTGCATGCCAAAGGGGTCTGGGCATTCATCAGCTCCTAGCCGATACGTAAACTACCACACTCTTCGTTCAATGGGGTGCTCTCCTGGCAAGAATTCAAGGAAACCTTAACCTTCTGTGTGTGGACAGGAAGTTTTTTTTTTGTTTTTTTGGTGTGGTTTGGAAGAAAGATTGACGAGACAATTTACATGGTTGCTCTGTTCTGTTCATAGGCAGTTGGTGTATATGGAAATATAAGCTTTCCAAAACCTTCGAGAGAAGGGGAAAAGAATTATATTAATTATTTATATGATGATTGGATGGTTAAATGCAGATCTCTCTCTCTCTCTCTGTACCCTTTAATTCCCTAGCAGGATGAGAGTGAGATTTAGATTCTAAACTTTGGTGAGACCACAAAGAAACTTTGCAGACTATATATACATGGTGCTTGCGCCTTGTAAAAAGTTATCCCTTTTATTGCAGGTGTTGAATGGGATCAAGTAAGGACGCAACTACAACTGATTCACAAAAGTCAGGATGATTTCCAGCTCCATTTCCTCCTTCACTTCAGCTTCAGGTCGACAAAGGAGGATTTCATTGCTTGATCATTCAGATCATGCGCTACCTGCTCTTTTCTCTGGTTCAACCAAATAGAGTTGGTTTTCCACTGAACTCACTAGGTGCTTTCGGGCTTTGATCTCCCTTCTGATCTTATTTATCCCAGAAAGGTAAATCAAAGTGTGCTTTTTCCATCTCTTGCTTAGCTTGGGTCTGTGCTTAATGGCTGGCTCTCCTCAGTACCAAATGCTGAAGGTGGATAGTCTTTGCGAGCAAGGTCTGAGGTAGTCAATGGCCTTCTCTTTCCTTCTAAGAGTCATCGTCTTTTGCCATAACGTCCCAAGTCGTCGGTGGTGAACACGAAAAGCAGGAGTGGCCC